TTCAAGTAATATAAATTGTAAGTCCAAGTATCGTTTCCCAAGAGATTTATGTTTGTTTAGATAATCATAATTACTTACTAGTTTAGGCAATGAATATAAACAGTAGTTGGTTCAAATAAGTTGCAAACATGTAAAGTTACTAAATATAAAGATTATAAAGTGATATAGGTAAAGACTCGTCACAGTTGGACTTCATGACCCAAACTCTATGCACTTATACACACAATATATCTTTAACATATTCAAGTATTCACATCATAAGTATACAAGCCCTAATTCCTTAGAGACAAGTTCTAAATCTTTATGTGGAAATACTAATCCCTTAGATATTCAAATACAAGATTTGCATTAAGAAAAGATGTTTAGAATGACCAAGAATCTAGGTCTAGAACCAAGCCTCTTGGTTGTATCCATTTTTAGGTTCCAAAGCATTGTCCAATGATTAGACACCACCAAAATAGCATAGATATTCCATCATGAAAGTGCATAAAAAGAATTAACACAAGAAATATGAAAGATATTTATTGCATCGAAAAAACTACAAAGTTTAAATACATTACATCCAACCCCAATAAAATGAAGTTTAGCTACTTCTATATATCTAGAACACAAGAATGCATTAGAATGATGAAAAGGATTGAGGAAGATGGAGTTCTTGAGCCCTAGAAATGCCTCAGCCTATGTCTTGAGCATCTAGTTTGTTTCCACATCCAAAAAGCTATCTTTTCTTCAACTCTTGACACTTTAAAATGTTCATCAAAAAGTGTTTTCTTGTTAGGCCACCAAATCCTCTCGATGAGTGAGAGGTAGCTTTATTGACATGTGGCTTCTTAAGCTCGTTGGGCTTCTTAGCTGGATTAGAGTTGCCAATGTTTCACTGGACGAGTGGCTTCTAGCAGTATCTTTTTAATCTTCTTCAATCTTCCATTTTCCTGCAAAATAAACTAAAAACATATAAGTATCTCTATAAAAACTATATATAAGTCTTGCACCTTTTCATGAAATTCAACACAAAATAAATGAAAAAAAAAGACAAATAAAAGATTCTAAAAAGTGTGAATAATAGATAATTATCACACTTATCAACTCTCCCAAAACTTAACTTTTTCATGTCCTAAAAAAACAAAACTGGCAAAAACAAGTAAAGGTAATTATCACCCTCTTCAACATATTTCTTGTTCTCCTCTTACATGGTGTGGGACAAGGTAGATTTTTCTTTTACAAGCTTAGGAATTACAAGACAATTTACAAAGCTCAAAAGATTCACAAAGGAAGACAATTTACAAAGCTAAAAGATTCACAAAGGATTCAATGTTGTGCATTAGGGTGGTCATTTGGCCAAGTAGCTTCATTTCACAAAAGAAAAATGGCCTATCTTATCTCCAAACAAATGTGTGTATGCATTTATAAAAATCATGCAAAAATCAAATTTATAGCAATAACAACTTTCTCACTGGCTCACTATATACATTCTCATCGCACTCAAATATTTAATCCATTAGGTTAATATCAAGCAGGATAAAGAATAATTATATAGCCACCACCTCCATAAATCTCAACACTTAAATTTGCAGTGATTTTTTCGAGATCAAACAAGTTATCATCCAATGGATTCAAGCTCTAAATGCTAAAAGAAAAATAAAGGCATCCAAAAACAAGGTTGACCAACAAAAATCAATTTAAAATACTACATGAAAATGTTCTAACATAAAGCAAAGTACTAAATATAAAAAACTAAAACAGATTAAAAGAAACTATATAACGGTTAAGAAAGAATAAACTTTGTCTTTTCTATAGCACTTTTACAAATAACATGCTTTTTTTAAATGAAAATATAGAAATTATACCAATTCATAAGCCACTGAAGGGAAAAAAATTAAAATATTAAAAGGAAAATAAAACCATAAACTTTAAAATAACAAGCCCTTTTATAGAAAAGTGTTAAAGGAAAAATTAATTGAAGCAATATCCTAAACTGCGATCTCAAAAAGAACTCAATCAATTTCCTTAAGGCACGCGATAATTTACCATATATAAAAAAAAATAATGAAACCAAAACACAAGTTAGAATATTATTTTCTAATTATACCAATAGACAATTAATGAATTAATGAATGAATAAATTAATTAATTAATGCAAATCTAATACATTTTCTTTGATTGATCCACTGATAAGCAACATTGCAACATCAAGCAAACCCATCAATTCATTTTCCCTGCCCCTCCAAAGCAAAAGACTTTGAAGTTTTGAGATGGGTAAGAGGGCAGTGTTAATAGGATGCAACTACCCCGGAACAAAGGCTGAATTGAGAGGGTGTGTTAATGATGTATGGAATATGAAGAAGTGCCTCATCAACATATATGGTTTCTCAGAAAGGGACATTGTTGTTCTCATTGACACTCATCATTCCTACACTCAACCCACCGGCAAGAACATCAGGTTGGCTCTGTCCAAGCTTGTCCGGTCCGCCAAGCCCCGCGACGCCCTCTTTGTCCACTACAGCGGCCACGGCACGCGTCTTCCGGCGGAATCCGACGACGAAGACAATACTGGCTATGACGAATGCATTGTTCCCACAGATATGAATCTCATCACTGGTAGGTTAAGTCTTCAACATTTCCCTACTATATTATGTTTTGATTAAGAAATTATTGGTTGAGAATTATTATGTGTTTGTACCTTGATTAATCTTAAGGGACACGTAATTAAATTTATTTATTTATTGAAATTCGATAGAAAAATTATTGTTTGTATACTTCGATGTCTATTACGTGATTATAAATTTGGTTATTTTTATATGATATATAATTGAGTTGCGTATAAAATGTAATATTCTAATTTTAGTAGCTAAAAAATAAGGCCTAATTAATATTTATAAATTGTAAAATGTTATAAAGGTTAATAATATGTTATGTGTTAAATTTTATGAAGTGTTCTTTTAGACACTACTTTAAGGATATAGGTATAACCGAAGTTGTAAGTGCTTTTTGGTTTGTGTAATATTATCTTTAACTCTTTAGATTATATATTTTTAATAATTTTTAATAACTCTTAATATTATATATAACTTTGAACACCTTATTTTTTTATATTTTATCCTCAC